GCCAGCACCACGCCCGGCCGCCTTTGTCTCCCTAGTGGCGACCTTTACACACCGCACCAGGTACTCATTCGAGGTTGAGTCGACCTAGGGGAGGCCCAGCACCGGTTCAGATAATCGTCACTGCTGTTGGCCTTGAGAGAGAATCCACCTCGGGGTCTCGCAGTTAATAGCGCGGCACGCTGTCAGCTACACGACCGTTCCACACACACACAGACTCACACAGATAGTCTCGCACACACACAGACTCACACAGAGAGACTCACACACACACAGACTCACACAGAGAGACTCACACACACACAGACTCACACAGAGAGACTCACACACACAGACTCACACAGAGAGTCTCACACACACACAGACTCACACAGAGAGACTCACACACACACAGACTCACACAGAGAGACTCACACACACTCACACAGATAGGCTCGCACACACACAGACTCACACAGATAGTCTCGCACACACACAGACTCACACAGAGAGACTCACACACACACAGACTCACACAGAGAGACTCACACACACACACACAGAGACTCACACAGAGAGACTAACACCACCACCACCACTCGCCCACAGCTCGGTTCAACTCCTCACCTGCTCTGGGGTCTGTCGGCGCCTCTCTAACGGGCAAACTGCCAGTGGGAAGCACGTGGCGCGAGACGCGGGGGCGGTACAAGTTAACCACGCCCCCCCGTGATGTCACAGCCATTAGCTCCTCCCCCCCGACCTGAGCTCCTCCCCCCATGCCTCCTCTGCCCCCCACCCGAGACCCCCCATGTACCCCCCTCAATACCCCCACCATGACCGTTCCACACAGAGAGACTCACACACACACGGACTCACACGGAGAGACTCACACACAGAGACTCACACAGCCACCACTCACCCACAGCTCGGTTCCACTCCTGCAGAAGACCGACTCAGTGTAGTCCCAGGGCTTGCGAGCTGGTCTTCAGTCTCCAACGGCTCTTCTGCTCCAACGACTGCCTCGAGCTCTCTCACGCACCGCCTTATATAGCCAACTGCCCCCCGAGGGGCGGGGCTGTATGCGGACGTCGATGTAGACACCCCATGCACGGATGTAGACACCGCAACGTAATGGCTTGCTACACCCCGGTACGTAACGCCTCTAGATCTCGATTTAAAGCTTTCGTGACTGCAGGCATTCATCTTCTTGGTTCTTTTGGTAAAGTCACGTAGAAGGGAAATAATAAAATAATGAAAATAAAACATAATAAAATAATTCTTACGACTTTTCGGCCACAACGCAAGCAGCCGTCCTCAGGTGAAGAGCAGGTCTGTCGGGGAGACAGCGTCTGAATGAAACACCACCACGCTTGGAGCGTATATTTAAGCTTGGTTGAAAGGGGGGAAGGGCGCCTTGACAAAATAATTTGCATATCAAGAGGAATTTAGCATATTTATGGGAAATTCAGGTATGTGATTAGTACTACTGTACTTGTGAAATGCGTAGGAGGTGGGCGGGGGGTTTCAAAGTCATATTATGCCCGTGCATTATGCAGGATTAGCAGCATCAAAGGGAGGGGATAGGGGTAGCATTAATAAAGGGAAGGAATGTTAATAGTATGTAGCTGCAGTAACTAAACCACCACGTAAACAACTAAAGTATAAACTACGTAGACATCTATAACGGCCAAACTGCCAGTGGCGCGAGACGCGGGGGCGGTACAAGGTAACCACGCCCCCCCCCGTGATGTCACAGCCATTAGCTCCTCCCCCCATGCCCCTCTCCCCATGCCCCTCCCTGCCTCCCCTCGCGACCACCTTTCATGTCCCCTCCCCCCCTCGCGAACCCCCCATGCCCCTCCCCCCTCACCCCCCATGCCCCTCCCCCCTCACCCCCCATGCCCCTCCCCCCTCACCCCCCCATGCCCCTCCCTGCCCCCCTCGCGACCACCCCCCATGCCCCTCCCCCCCTCGCGAACCCCCCATGCCCCTCCCCCCTCACCCCCCACCCCCCTCCCCCCTCACCCCCCCATGCCCCTCCCCCTCACCCCCATGACCCTCCCCCCTCACCCCCCCATGCCCCTCACCCCCCATGCCCCACCCCCTCACCCCCCATGCCTCTCCCCCCTCACCCCCCCCATGCCCCTCCCCCCTCACCCCCCATGCCCCTCCCCCCTCACCCCCCATGCCCCTCCCCCCTCACCCCCCCATGCCCCTCCCTGCCCCCCTCGCGACCACCCCCCATGCCCCTCCCCCCCTCGCGAACCCCCCATGCCCCTCCCCCCTCACCCCCCACCCCCCTCACCCCCCCATGCCCCTCCCCCTCACCCCCATGACCCTCCCCCCTCACCCCCCCATGCCCCTCACCCCCCATGCCCCACCCCCTCACCCCCCATGCCTCTCCCCCCTCACCCCCCCCATGCCCCTCCCCCCTCACTCCCCCATGCCCCTCCCTCTCACCCCCATGCCCCTCCCCCCTCACCCCCCCATGCCCCTCCCCCCTCACCCCCCCCATGCCCTCCCTCTCACCCCCATGCCCCTCCCCCCTCACCCCCCCATGCCCCTCCCCCCTCACCCCCCCCATGCCCCTCCCTCTCACCCCCATGCCCCTCCCCCCTCACCCCCCCATGCCCCTCACCCCCCCCATGCCCCTCCCCCTCACCCCCCATGCCCCTCACCCCCCATGCCCCTCCCCCCTCACCCCCCCATGCCCCTCCCCCCTCACCCCCCCATGCCCCTCCCTCTCACCCCCATGCCCCTCCCCCCTCACCCCCCCATGCCCCTCCCCCCTCACCCCCCCCATGCCCCTCCCTCTCACCCCCATGCCCCTCCCCCCTCACCCCCCCATGCCCCTCCCCCCTCACCCCCCCCATGCCCCTCCCTCTCACCCCCATGCCCCTCCCCCCTCACCCCCCCATGCCCCTCACCCCCCCCATGCCCCACCCCCTCACCCCCCATGCCCCTCCCCCCTCACCCCCATGCCCCTCCCCCCTCACCCCCCATGCCCCTCCCCCTCACCCCTATGCCCCTCCCCCCTCACCCCCCCATGCCCCTCACCCCCCATGCCCCTCCCCCCTCACCCCCCATGCCCCACCCCCTCACCCCCCATGCCTCTCCCCCCTCACCCCCCCATGCCCCTCCCCCCTCACCCCCCCATGCCCCTCACCCCTCACCCCCCCATGCCCCTCCCCCCTCACCCCCCCATGCCCCTCACCCCCCATGCCCCTCACCCCTCACCCCCCCATGCCTCTCCCCCCTCACCCCCCCATGCCCCTCCCCCCTCACCCCCCCATGCCCCTCCCCCCTCACCCCCCCATGCCCCTCCCCCTTTCCCCCCATGCCCCTCCCCCCTCACCCCCCCATGCCCCTCCCCCCCATGCCCCTCCCCCTTCACCCCCCCATGCCCCCCCCCCTCACCCCCATGCCCCTCCCCCCTCACCCCCCCATGCCCCACCCCCCTCACCCCCCCATGCCCCACCCCCCTCCCCCCCCATGCGCCTCCCCCCTCACCCCCCCATGCCCCTCCCCCCCCATGCCCCTCCCCCTTCACCCCCCCATGCCCCCCCCCCTCACCCCCATTCCCCTCACCCCCCCATGCCCCACCCCCCTCACCCCCCCATGCCCCACCCCCCTCCCCCCCCATGCGCCTCCCCCTCACTCCCCCATGCCCCACCCCCCTCCCCCCCCATGCGCCTCCCCCTCACCCCCCATGCCCCTCCCCCTCACCCCCCATGCCCCTCCCCCCTCACCCCCCCCATGCCCCTCACCCCCCATGCCCCACCCCCCTCCCCGCCCATGCCCCTCCCCCCTCACCCCCCCATGCCCCTCCCCCTCACCCCCATGCCCCTCCCCCCCCATGCCCCTCCCCCCTCCCCTCTCACCCCCCATGCCCCTCCCCCTCACCCCCATGCCCCTCCCCCTCACCCCCCATGCCCCACCCCCCTCCCCCCCATGCCCCTCCCCCCTCCCCCCTCACCCCCCATGCCCCTCCCCCTCACCCCCATGCCCCTCCCCCCCCATGCCACATCCCCCTCCCCCCCCCATGCCCCTCCCCCTCACCCCCCCATGCCCCACCCCCCTCCCCCCCCATGCGCCTCCCCCTCACCTTCCCATGCCCCACCCCCCTCCCCCCCCATGCGCCTCCCCCCTCACCTCCCCATGCCCCACCCCCCTCACCCCCCCATGCCCCACCCCCCTCCCCCCCCATGCGCCTCCCCCTCACCTTCCCATGCCCCACCCCCCTCCCCCCCCTCCCCCCTCACCCCCCATGCCCCTCCCCCCCCATGCCCCTCCCCCTTCACCCCCCCATGCCCCCCCCCCCTCACCCCCATTCCCCTCACCCCCCCATGCCCCACCCCCCTCACCCCCCCATGCCCCACCCCCCTCCCCCCCCATGCGCCTCCCCCTCACTCCCCCATGCCCCACCCCCCTCCCCCCCCATGCGCCTCCCCCTCACCCCCCATGCCCCTACCCCTCACCCCCCATGCCCCTCCCCCCTCACCCCCCCCATGCCCCTCACCCCCCATGCCCCACCCCCCTCCCCGCCCATGCCCCTCCCCCCTCACCCCCCCATGCCCCTCCCCCTCACCCCCATGCCCCTCCCCCCCCATGCCCCTCCCCCCTCCCCTCTCACCCCCCATGCCCCTCCCCCTCACCCCCATGCCCCTCCCCCTCACCCCCCATGCCCCACCCCCCTCCCCCCCATGCCCCTCCCCCCTCCCCCCTCACCCCCCATGCCCCTCCCCCTCACCCCCATGCCCCTCCCCCCCCATGCCACATCCCCCTCCCCCCCCCATGCCCCTCCCCCTCACCCCCATGCCCCTCCCCCCTCACCCCCCATGCCCCTCCTTCTCACCCCCATGCCCCTCCCCCCTCAACCCCCCCATGCCCCTCCTTCTCACCCCCATGCCCCTCCCCCCCATGCCCCTCCCCCTCCCCCCCCATGCCCCTCCCCCTCCCCCCCATGCCCCACCCCCCTCCCCCCCCCATGCCCCTCCCCCTCACCCCCCATGCCCCACCCCCCTCCCCCCGCTGCCACTTCCGCTGGGGTCGGGGCCGAGTGGAGGCGGCGCGCGCAGTGGATTGTGGGTGGCGAGCGGCTGGTTTGGATTCCCGCTCACGGCCACCGACAGTGGCGAGCGGAAGCTTCTGAAGCGGCGGCTCGCTGGGCCTCCTCTACGTCGACTCAGCCTGAAGGTGAGAACCTCGCGCGGTGTGTCCACATCAGCAGTGGCGGCGGCGGTGGGAGGAGACAGAGGAGGCGCCTGGCCCACAGCCGTCACGTTCTGCGGAGTTCACGGCGCAGCTTCAAGCAGAGCTAGGCCCTGCTGCTGCTGCTGTTGTGGTTACATTATAGTTGTGGTTACATTATAGTTGTGGTTACATTATAGTTGTGGTTAAGTTATAGTTGTGGTTACATTATAGTTGTGGTTACATTATAGTTGTGGTTACATTATAGTTGTGGTTACATTATAGTTGTGGTTACAGTTGTTGGTCGTGGTTATTGTTGTGATTATAGTTGTGTGGTTGTTACTGTGGTGGTTGTGCAGGTGGTGGCACACGAGTTAACCCATAGCACCAGGGTCTAGCCCTCCTCTTGTACCGAGCCAGGCAGAGCAGTCGGCCCATGGAACCTGAGTCTGGCCCGTGACCTCCTCCTGCACTTAGCCTGGCACAGCCGTCAAACCATGGAACCTGAGTTATTGTGGTGACGTCACCGCCACGTCGTAGTGAATGGCGACTGTTAATGTGTGTTGGCTTGTGTGTGAGTATGATGGTGAGTATCATGGTGAGTGTGATGGTGAGTGTATCGTGGTTGGTGAGTAATACTGAGTGTGAGTTTGACTAATTATCTTCCCTCTCGCTGTCTCTGCTTTCCCCCCTAACTACCTCGCCTGGTATACAGGAGTTTGTAGGTTCGATCCCGACCCTGATGCCTGCTGTATATTTGGAGTTTGCGTGTCTCTGTCTCTCCCCGTGGTCGCGTGGATTTTTCTCCGTGTCCTCCGGTTTTTCTCTCCACATTAAGAAACATTCGTTTAAAGTTTTGACTTAAAACTTTCGTGACTGCAGGAATGAATATTCTTGGTTCTTTCGGTAAAGTCAACTAAATAGAAAACAAAAAATCTATTTTTTTTTATAAAAAAAATAAGATAAATTGATAATAATAACGGCAATTTATTATATTTATTTCATTTTCATTACTAATTTTTTGGTTTTCTATTTACGTGACTTTACCGAAAGAACCAAGAATATGAATATTCGTTTAAAGTATTTAGCTGCTATAATTTACACGTGATGATGAGCCACTTCGTTGAGCTATTATTGGTGCCAAGTCGCTTCTGAATAAGTAATATTTAAAAGTACTTTGTTTTTTTAAAACGCTTTAATTAAATTAAATGTACCACGACTCCAGGAAGTGGCCTCGATGCTTGCCATAACGTAAGGGGCCCTGGTGATTTACAGCCAACGTCAGTTGAGCGTGGACAATTAGACCCAAGCCGAAACATAACATATAAAATGAATGTTCAAAAATACGTTTTTTTCATAGAATGTAGTTTTGTCATCAGTATGACATAAGCATACCAAGTTTGCAGTCGATACCACATTGGGAAGTGGGTTAAAATTGAGTTACAAGATTTGAGGATACGACAACAACAACAACAGACAGAGTGAGTTAAATAAAAGCGCGTAATAAAAGAGATGTTTATCTCAGTGGACCTTACCTGGTAAAATGAAAATCGTTGAGATTTTAGTCTAGTTTTATCTCTCCTTCCCGAGTACAACAACAAGCAGGAGTAGTGGGAGGAGCATTCTCCCCTAAGTGACAGTGACGTCACCACAGCGCCTGTGCCAGGCCAGGTGCACTTTGAAGCCACGTGAAGTGTCGAAGGCTCGCTGACCGGAGGTCCTGGAACAGTGGAACAGACCAAGGTGCCATGGGTTGGCTGACTGAGATGACTGGCAGCACCACCTGTACCCCGTACTGTGCCAAATTGCTGCATATTTATCATCCGGTGTTCCGATCGTTGTTGTGAGTATCACTCCTCCGTTGTTGTTGGAGGGCGATTGTCGCCAACTGCCAAGTAGAAGCATCCTTCACGAGCCTCCCCGCAGAGGCCGATCTCGACACCACTGGTACCAGTCGTCGGCAAAGCCCACTCAGCTCCACATCCTCCCGTACCGCATCAGTCCACCTCCACTCCAGCCAATGCCGTGCCCGCCCAGCTCCCTCCATCCACCCACATACTCACTTACCGGCTTACTCACGCACTCACCCACTCATATCTGCTCACGCACCCACGCATGAAATTTTAAATGCAGGCTACGCAAAGCATCGTGATCAATTTACACCAAAATCTACTCTCAACCACTTAAACCACATATTTGTAAATGATGCGCACCCTAATCAGCCACTATGGCTGTATGCAGGGTGTTGTGATGTCACGTAGTACGACGGTTTTCTTGCTCCCCCCCCCCCCCCCCCCCCCCCATTATAACGCGGCGTCTATCTATGGCCTCGTCACATTGGCCTTAATAGACGCGTGGTGATGGTGAAAGATGATTCGGCGTTGGACACTGAATTGCCGGAGCCCCATTTAACATTCAGGTGACACGGCGCACGGTACGTGAAGAACCTCTTATGTTCTGTAAGCAGACTTCTCTGCGTGGGATAGTTAACACCTCTTAATGCACAGACAACCGCCAACACAGCCTCGCCTGCCGGAGGAGCTCGCTGATGATCGGACAGTGTTCAGATCTCTCAAGGATCTGTGAGCTACTCGCACACAAAGATCCCAATATAGCCTTTAACAGACTGTTGGGGCAAGTGCTTTATAACATCATCAAAGGGGCGCTGCAATACGATGCAATCAAAATCACCGATCAGAGATTTTCCCATATATGGTCTTTGTTGATTGTGAATCGATACTAATTGTATTGATTCCACTCAGTCGATACAGCAGCAAGCTCAAAATGTCCGATTTTATCTGAAAATTTCTGCGTTTCACAGATCATACAAAGCAACGTTATTGATGCCTGGTTTGTATGTACTTTTTATTTTTAAAAAAATTCATGTAGTCTATCAGACTTTTGTATTAAATCGCTCTGCAAAAAGTCATTTTGTATGCTAATAAATCAATGTTATGCTAATGCAAAATTTCATCATAGCCGCGACTCGGTTTACTCCGATGTGCAATGTCATCTTTATTTCGATCCTGTGAGTGTACAATTTTATATTAAACTTCATTTACTGAGTGAATACAAGACCACTAACATGCTGATGTCCATTTTTATCATAGCTGTGATTCATTCAGCCATTCACTCACTCAGCCACAAACTCACTCAGCCACACACTCACTCAACGACTCACTCAACTACTCAGCCGCTCACTCACTCAATAATTAACTCAACCACTCAACCAATCATTCAACCACCCACTCACTCAATCACTCAACCATCACGCTCTCACTCACTCAACCATTCACTCACTCAGCCACTCACTCAGCCACTCACTCACTCAGTCACTCAACCACTCGCTCACTAAACCACTCGCTCATTCAACCGCTCGCTCACTCAACCATTCGCTCACTCAACCACTCGCTTGCTCACTCAACCACTCACTTGCTCACTCAAGCACTCGCTCACTCAACCACTCACCCAACCACTCGCTCAACGACTAACTCTACCACTCACTCACTCAACCCCTCACTCAACCTTTCACTCAACCCCTCACCAAACCACTCAACGACTCACCAGAATCCTCTCGGCTTGGGGACTCACTTAACCACTCACTTAACCACTCACTTAACCATTCACTTAACCACTCACTAGAACAACCACTCACTCACTTAATGACTTACTCAACCACTCAACCAATTACTTTCTCACTCACTCAGCCACTCACTCCTTCACTCAGCCACTCACCCTTTCACTCAGCCACTCACTCATTTAGCCACTCACTCAGCCACACACTCAACCACTCAGCCGCGCACTCACGAAGCTACTTACTCACGAAGCTACTTACTCACTCAACCACTCACTCACTTAATCACTTACTCAACCACTCAACCATCACTCTTTAACTCATTCAACCACTCGCTCACTCAGCCACTCACTCCCTCAACCACTAACTGACTGAACCACTCACTCAACCACTCACTCATCCAACCATTCCCGAATTCATTCAACCAGTCACTCAACCATTATGTCGCTGGACGAGTCCCACCTTGATGGGTCTGCGACATTTCTTTCCAGAGTTATTGCCAAAAAACCACAAACATCCCACAATCCTCTCGGTTTGGGGTCCAAATGTTGTCGCTTATATCCCATGAGAAACATTGCATCGAATAAATGTGATTGGATTCTCCCCGCTTGGACGAGCGGAATTTAATGGTGCAACTGGTTTTCCTGTGCTGTGTTAAATCAGATATTTGCATGACTGCTTTTGTTTTATTTTGTGAATAGCAAAAAACATTAATCCCCATAATACATATTGTTTTATTGGTCGCTCGTCCATTCCACTTCCCACAGCTTAACCACTCATATATTTCGATGACTCTCGACGAGGCGAGCAGTACGAGTCCCACCTTGATGGGTCTGCGACGTTTCCTTCCAGAGTTATTGTCAAAAAACAACAAACATCCCAGAATCCTCTCGGTTTGGGGTCCAAATGTTGTCGCTTATTATATCCCATGAGAAACATCGCATCGAATAAATGTGATTGGATTCTCCCCGCCTGGACGAGCAGAATTGAATATGTAAGCATCATGGTTTGGATCAAACCTACAACCTCCTGTATACCGGGCGAAGTAGTGATCTTCTCGTCACCCGGGTCGCCATAATCCATTCCCGTATCTCTTCTTCTGTGTGTGTGCTACAGGCGGGTGTCTCAGATTGCCAGCACCATGTGATGGGAGCTCCAGGGCATGCTGCGTGCTCGCCAGGAGGGGCTGGGCAAGATGGCGTAGTCGCTGGAGCAGCTGCGGGCGCGGCACCGCCGCTCTCACCCTGGCGGAGTGCAGCAACACAGTGGGGCGGCACCAGCGGGACACTCTTGACAACGCAGCCAAGGTGCGCGCCAGCCACTCACTCACTCACTCATCCACTCACTCACTCAGCCACTCATTCAACCACTCACTCACTCATCCACTAACTTAAACCACTCACTCAACTACTCACTCACTCAACCACTCACTCAACCATTCACTCAACCATCCACTTACTCAACCACTCAATCAATCACTCACTCAGTCATTAACTCAACCACTCACTCAACCACACACTCATGCGCTCAAATACTCACTCATTGGTTCAAACACTCACTCATTCAAATACTCATTCAACCACTCACTAATTCACTCAACCACTCACTCACTGAACCACTCACTCGCTCACTCAACCACCCGCTCGCTCACTGAACCAATCGCTCCATAAATCACTCACTCAGCCACTCACTCAACCAATCAGTCACTCAATCATGAATTAAACCGCTCACTCACTCAACCCCTTACACACAGGCTCATCACCTGTGTCTCAACCATCTCACTGAGTAACATAACTCTTTTTTTAGAAGTGACCTGGCCACAAATGATAGGTCAACAACGTGCCTTATGTGGAAATTTATAGCAGCCAACTACTCTAAACGCCTGTTTCTAATGTGTAGGGAAAATCCAGAGGACCAGAATAAAAATCCACTTGACCACGGAGAGAACATGCAAACTCCAAATATACAGGTGTCAGGGTTGGGATCTAACCGACAACCTCCTGTATACCAGACGAAGTAGTTAACATTGTATCCGGGCAAGCCGTACATCGAGCTGGAGTGGACCATGCGGCCCATCCCTATCGCGTGAGTGGCTCCCACTGTTGTTATTGTGTTCATATGTGTGTGGTCTGCTTGTGTGTATGCGTGTGCCGCACTGCGCTATGAACCCAACATGACCAGGCTGTTGCCCCGCTCGCCCGACTCGTTGAGAGGCTTGCCCACCCCCCAGGGCGTTGTCGTGAAGATACCGCTGGGAGGAAGAATATCTCACAATACTGGAAGAGGTGAGGACTACACAGTAATTAACTGAGTGGGTCTGTGAGTGAGTTAGTGGATGAGTCGGTGGGTGAGTCGGTGGGTGAGTGGGTGGGTCAGTGGTTGAGGGAGTAGGTGAGTGAGTGTGTTAGAGAAGTGGGTGTGTTGAATGTGAGTGAATAGATGAGTGTGTGGAGGAGTGGATTGTTGAGTGAGTCGTTGGGTGAGTGAGTAGGTGGGTGTGGGTTAGAGATTGAGTGGGTGGTGGGTGATTGTGTGAATTAGTGGGTGGGTGGGTGAGTGAATGGTTTGAAGTGATTGATTAGGTGAGGGAGTGGGTGAGAGGTGGGTTGGTGAGTGGATGAGAAAATTGGTGGGTTATAGATTGAGGGGGTGGGTAACTAGGTGATTGGGAGGGTGAGTGGGTGAGTGGCTTAATGGGTGATTCAGTCGGTGGGTGAGTAGGTGAGTGCCTGGATAAGTAAGTGAGTGTATGGGAGCATGAGTGGGTGGATGGTTGAGTAGGTGGGTGAATAGGTGAGTGGGTGGTGGGTGGGTGAATTAGTGAGTGACTGTGTGAGTGAGTGCGTGGGTAGGTCAGTGCGATATTGTGTGGGGGAGTGGGTGAGTGAGGGGTTGAGTGAATAGGTTAGTGGGCGGGTGAGTAGATTGTTGGGTGAGTGGGTGGGTGAGTCAGTTAGTGGGTGGGTGAGTGAATATCGAAGGTTGAGCAGGTGAGTTGTTAGTGTGTGATTGGGTGCGTGGGTGAATCAAAGAGTGAGGCACCACGGTGGCGACATGTTAACTACCTCGCCTAGTATACAGGATTTTGTGTATTCGATCCCATCCCTTCCACTTGTATATTTGGAGTTGGCATGTTCTCCCTGTGGTCGTGTGGATTTTTCTCCGGGTCCTCCAGGTTTTATCTCCATATTTAAAATCAACATGCATTTAGAGGATGTGGCTGCAATGAATGTCTCCATGATAATCCACTTCGTTATCCTATCATTTGTAACCAGGTCACTTCTGAAAATTATTAATTTAGTTTTCTGAACCTTTTTAGGTAAAAAAAAAAATTTATTTAGTTTATTGGGTGGGTGAGTGGGTAGGTGGGTTATTGAGTGATTTGGTGGGTAGGTTAGAGATTGAGTGGGTGAATGGGTGGGTGTGTGAGTGGGGGTGTGATTAGTTGAGTAGGTGAGTGGGTGAGTAAATTGTTGAGTGAGTGGATTAGAGATTGAGTGGGTGGCAGGGTGAGTGGGTTTGTGAGTGGGTTGGTGGGTGGTTTTGAATGGGTGAGTGGGTGGAGTGCCGTGGTGGCGAGCTGTTAACTACCTCGCCTCTTGTACAGGAGGTCGTAAATTCGATCCCGACCCTGACGCCTTGTCGCGTGGAATTTTCTCCAGGTGCTCCTTGTTCTCCCTCCACATTTAAAAACATGCAATTATAGAATTTGGCTGCTATAACTTTTTTACACGTGAAAAGCCACTGAATTGAGTTGATATTTGTGGTCAAGTGGTTTTTGAAAAATATCTATATAGCTGAGTGCCTTACCTGGTAAAATAAAAAAAGCTTAATTTTCATTTAGTGTGCAGATGAGTGGCTGGGTGGGTGAGTGGATGAGTGAGTGCGATGTTTGATGGGTAGTAGGTCAGTGGCTGGGTGAGTGAGTGTGGGCTAGAGATTGAGTGGGTGGCTTGGTGAGTGTGTGCTTGGCTCGGTGGTTGAATGAATGGATGGTTGAGTTAGTGGGTGGGTGTTTGAGTGTGTGTTATTGTGGGTGGGAGAGTCGGAGAGTGGAGTGCCATGTTGGCAAATTGTTAACTATCTTGCCTGGTATTTTTAAGTTTGTAGGTTCGATCTAAACCCTGCTTCTCAAAACAATCTATATAGCTCAGTGGGCATTACCTGGGGAAAAAAAAATGTTTGATTTAGTTAAGGGTGTTGGTGAGTGGGCGGGTGGGTGAGTGCATCAGTGTGGGTTTGAGAATTTGTGGGTGGCTTGGTGAGTGGGTAAGTTCGAGTGACTCAGTGGTTGAGTTTGTGGGTGGTTACGTTAGTAGGTTATTAAATTAGTGGGTGGGTTAATAATTACGTTGGTAGTGGGTGAGTGGCTGAGTGGCTGAGTGGCTGAGGGAGTAGGCGGGTGGTTGGCTCGGTGGGTGGGTGAGTAGGTGGGTTATAAATTGAGTAGGTGGCAGGGTGAGTGGATCTGAAAGTGGGTGAGTGAGTAGGTGCACGGCTGGGTGAGTTAGTGAGTGGATGGATGAGTGAATGGGTGAGTGTGTGGGTGCATGGATGTGTGGGTGGGTGAGTGTGTGTGGGAAGGAGGTTAGTTGGGTAGTGCGTGAATGGGTGGGTTAAAAATTGAGTGAGTGGGTTAGTCACTGGGTGAGTGAGTGGATGGGTGGGTTTGTGAGCTTTGGTTAAGAGATTGAGTCAGTAGCAGGGCTGGTGTGTGGTTTCGAGATTGAGTGGGTGGTTGGGTGAGTGGGTGGTTGGGTGAGTGGGTGGGTTAGAGATTGAGTGGCTCGGTGAGGGAGTATTGGGTGGGTGAAGTGAGTTGGTGGGTCGGTGAGTGCGTGGGTGGGTGATTCAGTAAGTGGGTGAGTGAGGGGTTGGGTGATGTTGTATCTATGCCCTGTTTTCCGTTATTAATATTAAGAATAATTAAGAAAAAAATATTTTTTTTTAACATCTATTTTTTTTTTAAAATTAAATAATGAAAACAACTCACGGGCACACCGGGAGTCCATGAGACATGGAGGGCGGTTGAAATGATAGGAATTCGGTCACAAAAAGGTCATAGACATCCAGACGGACAAAAAGATGTATGGACTAAACCTCCCGAGACATCTGGAGATGTACAGATAAGGTGCAGAGTGAATGACGGTTGAAGCTTCGCGTTTTCTTGGCGTTTTCCTAACCGAAAAGTAGAAACTTAACAGAAAGAATGAACCAACAAACAATAGGGGCTTTTTTATTAGTAATTCCCTTGTATTTCTCGTATTCACCGTATATATATTATTTTTGTATTGTATGTTTCTATCTACCTGACCAAAAAAATAATAATTACGAATTCCAACAGTTAAGGAAGCATAAGTGGAAACTTAGTTGCACTTAACCTCAGGACATTAAAATATAACTCAAGAATAAATGTAACATACAGGACCACATAATGTATTGCATACATCTCCTCGACCACCTTTGTCTTCCAGCGGTGTCTGACCTCAGAATGACCCACGCAGGGCAAGCAAGGAGGGATCAAAAAGGTCACAGGGGGGAATCGGTGCCTGACATTCCAAAGACATCTGTTTTGTTGTTTGTTTTCTCTCGCAAGAGACGCGGAGAGAGAGAAGGGAGTCACGTTTAAGTTAGGCACACACACAGCGAACGGGCAGTCTGGGTTGAGTCGTGCTCAGTCTCGCAACTCGGCGTGCGACGCAGCGTTGCGACGGGGCTCGCAAGAGAGTTGGGGCAGATCGTGCCTCGAGGAGAGATGGAACGAGGAGGGGTCGTTCGAGTCGCAGAAGTCTGAGTTCAACCTGGGTCGGGGCTGGGTTTCAGCCGTGCTCCGGCTGGCGGAGCGTCGTGAGGAAACGAAACACCGATGCTGATAGCAGATGTCGCTTCTCGCAGAACGAAGTTAAGTGCGAGTAAAGCTGGCAGCCGCACGAACAAGGGGAAGCACGGAGCAGAGAGAGAGTGACGAGTGACGACAAGCAATCAACCTGTAAAAGGGCGGAGATCGCCAAGCGTCGACCAAGCGAGCAAAGCAGAGAGCGCGAAGCAGTGGAGGAAGCCTGGTCAAACGGCTGCGAGGGAGAGGACAGCGCCATCGAATGCGCCGTGTGCCTGAGGGCACACCGACCAACGACCAGTGTGAACACACAAGACGTCCAGATCGACCAAGCGAGCATCGTGCCGACTCAACAATCAATCGAGCAGTGGAGAAGCCGGGGGCTGCCACCAAGAAAGCGCGTGCGCCACCTTGCGCCACCGTGCGCCACCCTGCGCCACCCTGCGCCACCGGGCGCCACCGTGCGCCACCGAGCGACACCGAGCGACACCGAGCGACACGAGCGACCGAGCATCTTCAAGGAGAACATCGTGCCAACGCCGCTCAATCCAGCAGTGGAGAGAGAGAGAGAGAGCAAAAGCCGAGCGACACGCCGAGCGAGGGAGCAGCAGGAGCTTGCGGCGGCCACGCCCAATCGAGAGGAACACCTGGCCGCTGTTTGTATCCTCCTACACCACACAAGCTAACGACACAATTAATATTACGAGGGGACAACGCACACACAGCACGCACACGAATAAGACTTTAAAAGAAAAACTGTCTTTGCGTTTCAAAAAGGGTTGCCATTTCGAGGTGGTGCGTTCAATATCAACTGATCGTGCAAAGCAGTTGCTGCCGTCGAGCTGCATGAATAAGAAATGTTTAGTCATTCATTTTCGTTAACTGCATAATTTCGCCAATGATGAAGTATTTTTAGTCATTCAATTTCGTTAATTGCATAAGATTGCCCATGAATTTATTGACGTATACTCGCTTTCGCATACTAGAGTGTCATGTGCTTGTTTAGAATTAAAATTGCTTAACACCAACTGTTCGAGTGCTTCTTTCCAAGTCCATGCAAAACTGTCTTATTCTTGACAGCTGTATCCTGTAATGAGATCTGAACCTGGAGAATTAAAATAATATAAACACACTAAGATAATCAGTAAATGTTTAATCGACGATAATCGTGTTATCCTGATTGATATAACCCTGGATAAACGAAACCAAGCCTAATTAACATAACTGCACACATTAACATAATCGCAAGCATCTGCATAAATTACTACGATTATCATAATTTATGCATATAATTACACGCATTGTCATAATTTATGCATGTTAATACACACACTATCATAATTAATGCGATTTGCGCATTTTTCGGAAAATTATTAATTTTTATTATTTTCATCAAAATTTCATAATCACAACACATACAACATAATGGGTGGCGTCGTCCGGGATCTC